AGGGCTTAACATGTATAAATTGTGCTACGTTCATTCATATTCATATTTGTTGACATCCTAAGAAGCAATACAATCCAAATAGTTTGAAAGTGGTGGATTTTTCCTTTTTTTCCTTTCTGCATTCTCTTTCTGGCTGGTAACTGTTATCTGTGGGATTACTGCAAGATCATTTATTATATGCCACCACTTCTCCCTTCCCTTTGGAGGCTTTTGTTTCACTGATTGTATTACGTTTCCATCCAGCCATTCCTTCAGGAGCTCAGGTGATGTAGAACAAAAGGAAATCTCTCAAAATAGGGCAGCAGTCCATTAAGCCAGCCTAGGGGCCTTCCAGATGCCTGGACTTCAACTCCCCAAATGTTCTACCCAGCAGGGCTCTGTGTGTGTGTGTGTGTATGAATGTGCAAATTTTATGAATTGAAGCCCTCAGTTTTGGAGGACACTTGGAGTGGGAAAGACTGGCACTGACTTTCCAGAGTTTAAGATAGCTGACTTACCTGAATGGAACTGCTGTCAATATAACAAAAACTTTTTGCATGCAAAGCATATCCTCCTACCTCTGAGCTGTGGCCCTGAAAGTGTATTAATACATTCTGATCATAATTTTAACTGGTACTGTTTTCCAGTTATCAGTTATCAGCAGCAAAATGAAGTATTTGGTGAAAAATGTGTATAAATCAAAGCTCACAATTTTTATTTTTTATTTCTTGGCACTCTTGATTTGTTTTTCTTAGCAGCCTTTTAAAATATAAATATTGAATTAAACGATGTACAGAAAATTGAGATTGACATTGATTTGGAGAATCAAAGCTTCTTGATTTAAATGAGTGGAGAGGTAATAATACTAATGGATTATAAATAGATTAGGTGGAACAGTTAAGCTATAAAAGCAGTTGCGTTTGTTGTATACTGTAAGGAATAGGTGAAAGATATGTTCGGCATGTTGAGGCTTGGGCATCCTCTTCTGTGTTGTTCTGACTTTTGAGTGAGGTAAAAATACAAAAGACATAAAGAAGAATACAACTGGAGCTTAAGAAAGTGGTTTGAAGTGTAAATGCTTATTGGTTTATCCACCTTATGTGCAGTGCTGCTACAGGGGACAACAGATGGGAGATTCTTGAATATATACATTTTCTTAAGTGGCAACTGTTTCTAATTCTAGGCTTGTTCAGTCAGTTCTGCAAGCAGAAATAGAATATACAGCAAGTGATATAATTGAGTAGATCAACACAGGCAAATAAATGCAAATTTGGATCAGACATTGATTTAATGCTAACATTGCAACTGAAAATGCAACCAGATTTGCCGTAAGTTGTAACCTATTCCACCCAGCCCTATCTGAGATTGCAGTCATTTGATGCAGCTGTTTGTGTTATATTGTTTGATAACCAGTTCTGTGGTCAATTGCATAAAAAAACTAGACAGTACATATACAAATAATCAGGAAAAAAATAGTACAATATTTTTACAGTATAAAAATTGCCAAAGCTATTATCTCAACATACTTGGTATCTTAAAACATTAAGGGCTATAAATTGTGAAGTCTAAAAATACTTTAAAATGCCAAGAAAATGTATGTTGCATCTGGCATTTGCACTTGATCTTCTGTAGAGAAATTTTCATACTCATTTTGTATCCACCTGACCAACTTCATTTATTGGGAATTAAGTGACGTATCTTGTATGATATGACAATCTTAAACCATACCAGTTGTAACATTCCATTGGTATGGGTCAAATTATTGAATTCTGTTGGCATAAAGCAATTCTAGTACAGAACTGTGGGCATACCTGCTTAGTGATTATATAAATCAACTGCATTTATACATCATACTAAACTATGATTGGCTTGGTTTCACCCTAGCATAATGTGTGAATCCGGCCATCGGTTGCCAATTATGGTTTATGTCTTAACCGTAGATATGATCCATAGGAGACTATTCTAATCAAATAAGTATACTGTTACAGAGCCAGGCTAAATCACTGTGAGTGCTGGAATGAGAAGATACGATACACTAAAGGAGAGTAACTGTTCTTTAGAGAAATCTGTGAATGATTTTCTGTCTGTGGCTATACAGTCTGTATGTTCGAGGGGAATGTGCCATTGAATGCTGGTTGCTGGAAGTGACACGGTAAAGGCCAGTGCTTTCACATCAGTTTAAGAAATAAAAAAATGTCCAGCTTATGGATTTCCCAGAAATGTCATAGGAACAATGGCTGGCTTCATATATAGCTAAGCATATTTTTGTTTGCTCATGGTTTAATACTGTGCATGAACCCAGCTTTTATGGTTTAGGTAAAAACTGTGGTTAAGGTAATCTTGCTGTAGCACATTGAACTCAATCAATAGGAAAATAGGTCATTGAGTATAACTAACAAGCTGTTCTCTCTTTTGTAAAAAGCAGTTGATAGTCTGGTCTGAACTGCCTTGGATCAGGAAAGTAATGTTGAAAAAAATAAGTATAGCTAGCCCTCCCTTAACAACCACAATTTGGACCAGCAACTCCATTGCTAAGCAACACAGTCATTAGGTGAGATGTCACATGACTGCAACAGACTTAGGAGCTCACTTCTGCTGGTTGTTAAGCGAGACATCGCATGACAATGACTTGCGATTTTACTGCCAGCTTCTCCATTGACTCTACTTGTTGGAAGTTGGCTGTGAAGCACACAAATGGCAATCGTGACTGAGGGACACTGTGATGGTCGTAAACACCTGCTGGCTGCAAAGTATCCAAATCTTGATCACGTGACTGTGGGGATGCTGCAGCAGTTGCAAGGACTGGTTGTAAAGTTGGTTTTTCAGTGCCATTGTAACTTCGAACGGTCGCTAAACAGGGCAGTTGTACTATCTGTATCTGGATTTTACATTGCATAAATAGAATGTAGTTCAAAGCCAAGAGGTCCCTTTTTATAATGACACACAGTTGGTCACATAGAAGATATTTATAACACCATAGGACTTGGCCAATGTCACCTTGGTATTTTTCACACCATGTGGCATTTTTCCACTTGAATGCTATCACCTTCCTCATTCAGTTCACTTGGGAACTTTTTTTTTTGAGAATAATAATGTGTTTTGAGAACCACCCTTTCTCCAGTCTTTCAGAGGGTCCTCGTCTTCCCTGCAGAAACTGAAATATACTAGAACAAATCCTTCTCTCTTTGTGACTTCCTCTGAGTGGATCTCAGGTTTTCCACCTTTTAGGCATGTCCCTTTATACAAAACTATGTGTAGGGAACCAAATACAGGTAGTTCTCGGGTTACAATCACACATTCAGTGACCAAAGTTATGATGGCACTGAACGAGGGGGACTTATGACCAATCCTTGATTATGACCCTGCAGTCATGTGATTGCAATTTGGGCGTTTGGCAACTGGCTTGCAATTATGACAGTTGCAGTGTCTTGCAGTTACATGATTGCCATTTGCGACCTTCCTGCCAGCTTCCCATAAGCAAAGTCAGAGGGGAAGCCAGCAGAAGGTCGCAGGTTGTTTTTGCAAGTTGCTCCCGCTTCTAACATTTTTCCCCAAGGAATCCCTGGGCAACATGGGAATCTTATACTCTGTAGCATCCACCTGCCCATACTCCATATGTAGTGCTGCTTGCAGCACCTGCCTGTGACACCCACCTGCCCACCTGTAGCTCTCTCTTGATGGCCTGCTTGCCTGGGATACAGTTTCAGTGCCTGTTTCACTTGACACTGGTATTTTGCCTATAAAATACTGAATTCCTCACTTGAAAGACAGCAGTGGAGACTGCTGAGATTGCCACCGCTAAGTGATCAAGTGATGTCACGCTTTACAACCACATTGCTTAGTGATGGAACTTCTGGTCCCAATTGCCATTGTAACCTCAGGACTACTTGTAGCTACAAACAAATACATGTGATAAGAACATAGTAATAGTTTAACAACATGGTGACTAATGACTATTAATAAAGATGTTATATTAAACAGTTCTTTGGTATAGTGGGAGCTCCATTTTAGAATGCATTACCAGAATTCATACTAATGGCCAAAATATCAGCCTAGGTAGGGTGAAAGGAAAGGAAAGGATATGAATATCATGTGGTGCTCTTCTCACTTTACAGAAAAGCAGACCTAA